ATAAAATTTATATAAAATATTGAAATTTTTTTAGTTAAAAATATTAATATTTTTAAAGGATCAAGATATATCTTAATTTGAGTCCATAAGTAATATACCTAAATGTTTTTTTAATTTCTTGATATAATTTGATATGTAATTCTTCAAATTCTAAGGTTGTCAGAGATGCATTAAGCAAACAAAACTTAAACCCTTAAATAGGCTAAGACCTGCAAAGATATTCTAATAATTAAGTTAAATAGGTGTGTAAGGTATTAATAAATATTATAATAAATACGTAATAATTATCTACTATTATTTATAGTAACTTTATAGGCTTTTAATTTGTTGAGACTAAATCACTTAGATAATTAAATTGTATAGGTTTTGTTAATCAATTTTATGTCTTAATCTCTTTATCAATCATGTTTGATCTCCAATTATGTCTTGTGCTTTTAACTATGATTATGATGCATTACTACTATGATGAAAATGTTACATAATATTGTTCTAGATTGACAAGACCATATCAATGACATATAATATATTATGAAATTACTTTAAGTTAACAAAATCATTTCGGTTACATATATACAATTAACATAATAAATTTATAAGATTTTTTAATTTTTTTAAGTATTTATTATTTATCCCACTTATTTTATTAAATTAAATGTTTCTAATCAATATTAAATTTCTAACCTAATTTTTTTTAGTTGGACAAGAAAAACAAAAATTATTTACAGGAAATAATAATAACAAATATAGATATTAAAAGAATAAAATATGAAGAAAATAAGATAAACTAAAAATATATATAATCAATTAATATTGAATACATTAATAATAGTTGTTTTTAATAGGATTATGAGAGAAAATTCCCGTTTACTTTGCTATTTTGATGTATATAAATGAATATTGAAAACCAAACTTGAATTTCACATGTAACTTCTTCTAGTTATATTAAAGTTTGAAAGTAATCATTTCTTATTTCAACATTTACACATGAGTTCTTCAATGTCGATTAACAAATTTTCTGAAATTCATTTTTATCATTCTCCCTCAAATCCATTTAAGTGAACATAGACTTAGTCAAGGTATTTTGTATTAGTATTTTTCATTGTAAAATAAAGAATTTAATTAGATTTTAAAAATTCAAATGATAAAGTATTTCTTTTTATACGATACCTATTTCCCGCTATTTACTAAATAAAGTGTATTTCCTAATTAAAGAATGTATCTTTTTATTATTATTCTTCTGGGACGTGTCAAAGATTTTATTCATGTTTATAGGGTCATATTTGTTTACAGTTCACATCAATCTTCCCCTGAATTTGATGTGTAAAGAAAGATATATATGAAAATTTATTATTCTTTATTCTTGTGGCTTTATTATTTAATTTTTATCATCAAATATATATATATATATATATATATATATATATATATATATATATATATATATATATATATATATATATATATATATATATATATATATATATATATATATATATATATATATATATATATATATATATATATATATATATATATATATATATATATATATTTGTATGTATATATATAAAGTAAGTCCGATATAAATTGAAAAAGAAATTTATCTGTGTTTCGACATTTTGGACTCTAAATGATAATATCTTTTCATTTTAAGAGTCATATAAATTTTGTTCTGTATTAATATACTGACTCCTCTATTTTTAAATAAGTTAAGTTATTATTTGTGTTTTTAACTACAACTCAAAGTACAACTCTGACTTTTCCTCTAACAAACCAAACTCTTTCTTATATATATTCTTTAACAATTCCAAATCTATTTTTAACCAAATACTTCTTATTTATTATTATTTTTTCTCAAAAGCTTTCAACATTGAAAAATGAAATTATTTTTTATATAATTATAAGTTATGCATTCTCATTTTATCAAAATATTATCTATTTTTAATACTTCCAATTAGATACGCAATTTTACAATCTAAACTTAAATTCTTAAATTTTACGCGACATGATAAACGCATAACACTCAAGCCATCATAATTGTTTGTTTTGATACCAAAATGTAATATTCGATCTTAGCATCTTATAATTAAAGATAACTTTGATATTTTGATAAATTCCTATATTAGATAACTACTAAAAGCAAAAAATAATTGTTACTCAATGGTGCCCTGTTATCACTTAACTTGAAAGCCTTCACATAATAGCCCAATTCAATTCTTAAAATAAAATCATTCATCAACATGCAAAAACATTTTATAGTCTGAAAGATCAAATTTTGTATTATTATTATTTCTAAAATGTTATTGTCTAGATCTTTACTTTTCTTTTATAATCTGAAAGATCAAATTTTAATCAATAAATTTTCAGTGAAATGAGATTCATGAAAATTAGAGGTGTCAATATGGGTAACCTGACTCGACCAGGTCTGGCTTATCACGGGTTGGTCACTTAGCGAGTCAACCCAACCCGGCTCACTTATTAGCGAGCTGAAAAAATTCGAACTCGGCTCGACCCACCACGGGTTGGTGGGTTAAACAGGTTGGCTCACTGACTCATTTAATTATAAATTTTTTTTTAAATTAAAAAATTACAATTTTTTTAATTCAAATCTAAATATAAGTTACACTAAAATATTGTTAAACTCCATAAACAATTCAAAATAAATAAAAAAGTATCATACAATTCAATCGTAATGCAAAAACATGTACAAAAGATAAACAAAATAAGTTTTTAATATTGATAGCTTTTGTAACACTTTTTCATTTAGAGTCTTGAATAAATAAATTTATAATATTTTTCTTTCTTGAAACATCTTTTTTATCATCATCTATAATATAATAAAAAATGCTAACTAATAATATTGAAACACAAAATAATAAATAACTAAATTAAATTAGATGGGTTAGTGAACTAACCCGGCTCACCACGAGTTTAACCTGGTGAGCCGGGTTCTAAGTGAGCCTGTGACGAGCCGGGTTGGCTTGCGGGTTACAATCCACTTTGATAACACTAACAAAAACCTTTAATTTTTGTTTTGATAGAAAAAAATTTCATTTTTAAGATACTTAAATGTATCGAATTTAAATTTAGTTTCTTTTTTTAATTTTTTTACGTAAAAAATCAAATTTAATATATCTCAATCTCATTTAAGCTTTACTTAACCTATACACAACATAATTTCATTCAATTTGAACATAACATAACAAATTCTTGATCAATATAGTGACTCAATAACTTGATTGGGTGTGAAGCAAAATTGACTTAGTTCAATTTAGACTTTGATGGACTTAGCTTTGTGCGTTAGTCCATATTCACACAAAAAATTATTAGAATAATTATAAATTATAGAAGAAATAAGATAATTAATAATATATTGTAATGTGTTCTTGATAAATCAAATACTAATATATTGTAAAACGATACTTAATATCGATATTCTATAATCATATTTTATTATAAAAAAATATCTTATTATTATTGTTTTGAAAATTTATTCGTGGATGGATTTCACTTATTTCCTACTAAAACATATGAAAATATTAATATGAATATAAAAAACTATTAGGAGTTCAGTATATTAAATATTTTCATAGAGGTGCACTTGCACTTATTTATGAGATTATGTTTCTTAAATAAAACTAATAAATTGTAAATTCAATGGTAAGTGAAGTTATATATAATGTAGAAATAAGAAAACTTAAAATAGTAATCCTTGATAACTTATTATCATAATATTTTAAATTAAAAGTAATATGAATATCTTATATGAATTGCATTGATATCTCATTATTATTTCTGGTGAATTCTTGAAAGATATATAAAAGATAATATAATTATATACATATATTTTATTTAGGGTTCAGAATCAAAGCAATTTTCTTGGTATTGTAACTGCACACATCGAATCAAGATATATAATTAATTGTCATGCTTTGTGTTAACTATGAACACAGGGTTTGACATGTAACATTAAGAACTTACTTACCACAACAACATTAGACAAAGGTACAGTTCCTGTCTCATGTTAACTCTTATGTGATAGGTATCGAAATATCTCGATGTTTGGATTAAGAATTTTGTCTTCAAATAGTGGAAAATGGTTCTTAAATGTACAGATACTTTTCATGATTAAACAGGTGTTATTTTCCCTTCTCGTAACCCAAGGCCCTGATTATTAGCTTGAATCTAAATATTCCTCGGGCTTATATGAAATTCAAGATTTAATGTTTCATTTTTTTGTGCCCTCAATGTCAATTTTATTTAGAAACCTGGACACGAACAACCTCTGGAGAAAAGATGAATACAAAATATTAATTATTGTCCTTTATTGTGCACATGAAAAGCTTTTTTTGTTGGTTCGCACATGAAAAGCTTCGATGGTCCACATTGAGTTTCTTCAATTGGCAAACAGCTAACATCATCATGCATCGAAAATATGCATAGGATCAAGCATTAAAGTGGTCCCATTTCTCACAACATCACTTCCTTCTTCTTGTAGACCATGATATAATAATCCCAATTTGACAATCCACACTTTGTTGTTTAAGTAGTGTTTAAATTTAGAAGAAAAAAAAGAGTGTAAAATACAACCTCAAGAGCTTCTAAAATAAGTGTTACTTGGAGTATATAAAATGACAAAAATATATATATAAATAGAGAGAGAGAGAAAAAAAAAGTTGACAAATTGTTAATTAGGATCATCATGTATACATATAAAAAACCACTTAAGATAAGATGGTCTCTTAAAATCAATAATTGGGAGTTAAAATTTTAGTTAACATGTTGATAAAAATAGGTATTTAATGAAATTATGAAGTGAAAAAAAAAAGTGTAGTTGAATTAATTTAACAGGTGAGAAAATGGAAACTGGGAGGGGAGGGTTATGATTTATCATTGGCTAGGGTTTTGGCTGGCGCATGTCACGTGTCGAGAATCCGACATGACTACTCACACAGAGTGCACAGAGATCTGCAAAATATAGAACAACCACCAAACACAAACTTGACTCACCCTCTTCTTTCTCTTTCTGTTTCTGTTTCTGTTTCACCTTCTCAACCATTTCTCGGTCTTTAATAAGCTAGAAAAGTTTGCAACATTGCCGAATCCTACCAAACAAGGTCATCATAAAATTCCCTAAAAATCACAATCACACTCATCACTTTCTCCTTTCAACAATGGAAGAGGTGTGGAAAGACATAAATCTTGCTACCTTAAATGACCAAGTCACACGCTCCGCAACAACGCACTCCAACTTGGGAGGAGTAATCCTCCAAGACTTTCTCGCTCGACCCTTCACCATGGATCCACCAAACACCATTCTTTCCTCTCAAACTCCCTCCCTCTACGGCGCCCCCTCCTCACCGGCACCACCACTCCTCACGGCTCTCAGCCTGAGCTCACACCCCCACCTCCATTTCGACCCTCACACTCAAAAACCCTCACATCCCCACCACCCTCCTCCACCTTCCAACCACTCTTGCTTCACCACCCCAACCACCGCCTCCTTAGGCGCCAAAAGATTCGCAGAACCCGATTGCAACCTCGGAGACAGAAGAAACAAGCGCATGATCAAGAACCGCGAGTCCGCTGCACGATCGCGAGCCAGGAAACAGGAAAAATTTAGCTTCACCTTTTCGCTCTCCTTAATTTTTCCGACCGTGGGATTTAAGTCCCACAATTCTAGGTTTAACTGAATCTAGTAGTTCCGCAAATTTAGGTCGAGGATAAAAACAAAACAAAAAAAAGTGTCATGAGGTTAAACGAAACAAATATCACTGTTGGCAAACTGGATGTATTACGCGCCTTACACCGTTTTTTTTTTTGGTCTCTTCAGGCTTACACGAATGAATTGGAGGTAGAAGTTGAGCAATTGAAGGAAGAGAATGCAAGGCTGAAAAGACAGCAAAAACAGGTATGTTTCTGGTTGGAGAATTTCCATTTGTGTATAGGGGGTTGAATGCGTTTCACAAATAACATTAAGAAGAGAGATAAAATGACAGAATTTGGGAACATACTATAAAAAAACAGAAGTGGTGTGATTAATGTCCTACGTCATTGTATAGCTAAAAAAGTGGTTGATGGTTTGATGTTGCACTGGTAGTAGTAGAAGGTGATTGTGTCCCTATTTGACTGCATTTCAGCTGAGTGAAGTTGCAGCCAGTGAGCAAAAGAAGAAGAGTAGCCTATATCGAGCATCTACGGCTCCATTTTGAAGAGGGTCCTCGATGGTTTAACCCACTTCGCCCACATGCCCCTCAATCTTCGGTTTACCCTTTTCAGTGATAATGATGTAATGCATTTCTGGATTTGTGGTCGCCACATTTCCACCTTTAAATTCCTATTCCTTCCTTTTCTGACCTTACATAGTAATAGTATATAGTGTAGTAGTAATTTGGGGAATGTAAGAGAAGAAACAAGAATGTGGTTTTTGCTTCTTCCATTCCCTACTTATTTTCATTGCCCTTTTTATGGTATTGCCTTCCTAACTAGTTTTGAGTTTTAACGTCTTTCTCTTTAGTTTTTCCTCTTTATCGCTAAAATTTTTTCATGCGGAGAGTAATGTTCCTGTTTCTTGTTTCTTTCCTGAACTATCCATTCTTGCCCTAGCTTATCCAACATTGCTTTATATGTATGTTTTAATTATTAGTACATATGTAACCGTACCATTTCACTTTAAAACCTCTATTAATGTTTTTCTTTTTTAATCTTTCTATCCCATCAACTTGTTTTATTTGCAATTTTCTTTATCTCTTTTGAGATGTCATCACTAAAACTCATCACTCATGTAGCATGCATCTAGGTACCCATTATCTTCTTTTGGAGAATCACTTTTAAACACTTTATAAGTTTTCACACATTTAATCAACCGTCTAGTCTTCCTTATAGATCTTTTTCTAGGTTTCAAAACGAGCCATTTCGAATAATCTTTAATTTGTTATCTTACAACTGCTTAATTACCATAAATGTGTTCTACGAATTAACAATTTAGTTAATTTAAACTTTTAAAACGATAGTTGAAATAGTAATCAAACTTAGAATTTATTATTGCCTTTAGCATTTTGATACTTTTTTAAACCCATTTAGTATAACATTTATTCTTTTATTTTTTTAGCAAAATATTAAGTTTAAAAAATATAAGTGTATAAAATTAATAGAGTATAATTATGTTTTTTACAAAAGATCGAAAATATAAAAAAATGAATATAACAAGATTTTTAATTTTAATTAAAATCTTTAAAAAAAATAATTTGTTTCATTAACGATTCCGGCTAGTGGAAGAGGGGACCAGAAAAGTTTTATATGCTGGAGGATATTTTGCAGGACAAGACGTTTTGTTCTTTTGGCTACGTGGCGCCAACTATTATTATGTCCCTTTAATTTGGACTTTTTTCTAAAGAAAAAAACAGTTATTTAAAAACAAATTATTTTTAAGAAATTACTTTATGCCTATATCATGACATGGTTGACATAAGGAACTGGGCAAAAAAGGCTAGTAAAAAATATTTTTTTATGTTGTCATGTTTAATAAAGTTAATTTAGTAAATAGCCATTTAAATAATGTCTTATTATTTTTATCTGTTTAAAGTAAGTTAAACTGGTTTTTTTATTTTTTAAGTTTAAGTTATATAGAGAACAATCCATGTGAAGTGTTCCATTGAAAAACTGTGCCAATTACCTTTTGATTAGCTCTCGACATTATTTATGTTGACATTGGGTGGTTCATCTCAGTAGTTTTGGTCATAAATATTTCTCAGATGTTATTATTGCAAACAAAAATCGCATAAGAATTTTGAATCATTTTCGACGTATAAAAACCGTGGTTTCCCTAATTACTTTTGTATTTGTGAAAGAAAAAAATAATAATAAAGGAAAGTGTCAATTGTGTCTAAAAGATTGTTTTGAAAGTTAAAAATATCATTAAAAAATATGGTAATACTGGAAAATTCAGTTCTTTTATAAAGTTGTAAATTCAACCATAACTTTTGTTTTTTTATTTCTAAGGAAGTCATACATTCAAAATTTTCTAAAAATGATAAAAAGTCGCGTTTCTAATTATAATTTATTACTTTTTTAATTTTTCTTTAATCTCAATAATGGTATAATATGTTGAAAAATTAAGATGAATAAGAGAATTTACATGAAAAAAACAAGATCACTAACGTATAAATAAAAAATTGATAAAATACATAGTCAAATAATATTATAGTTTTTTATATAAACGTGTTCTCAATTTATTATTATCGAATTTTTTTCAATAAACTTGGCATAAATGAAAGCTAGAAACAAGTATGAGCATTATGGGATTCCAAAAGCAATAAGATGATGAAGGTAATGGAAATAACAACAAAATATGAAGCTATGAGGTGCCGACAGCTACATGGTAAAAAATGTGGTATAATTTGTGAAACAAAAAACATGTTTTTTGTAGCACTTTGTGATGTGTGATTGGGCCAGTGTTTATTGTGAACCTGGGTTGTCGCAAGGTGCAACATAAAAAACAACAGATAAGTTGCTACTTCCAACATAATTTATCAATGTTGTTTTGCGGTCCCCAGTGAATGATCAGATTCAGGTCCTTCGTGTTTTTTTTTCTTCCAACAAAAGCTTTATTTTTGGTTAAAAAACAATTTTAAGTTTAACTTTATTTATAAAGTGAGATTGTTTATATTTACATATATATATATATATATATATATATATATACTATAAATTGTCTTTGTTTTTAATTAATATAGAGTTTCTAACCTACTTTCCATTGAACTGTGAACTAGATATTAGTGAATGATCTCGTATTGATTCAATAAAAGATGAAATAATATGTTTATTAAAAACTGATGTCTTCACGGTGAGTAGCACAATAAGCCAAACAAACAATTTTTTTTATTAAAATAAACTTTAACACTATGATATTATGTTAGGAAATAAAATTTTTTAAATTTAAATTTAGTTTAATTTTATAAAACTAATTTGTAAGTTCAAATTTGCATTACATATATTTAAATTAACTTTATTACGAGACTCCAAACAAAAAAATTGTTTTTTTTTCTCCTTTTATGAAATAAATATTTTTATCCTGTGCTGTAATGTGAGTGAATTGTTGAGTGAAGAGTGGAGGAATTGTCTTCTCCACTTGGTGGTGTGGGAATGTTGGATGATAAGGAAATTTGTTGACGTGGGTAGAAGAAGGGTGTTATTGGTGTGAATTTTGAATGTCTGTCTGAGATAACATAAAGGCTTTTATCGAAAGATGATGTGGTACAACAAATGGGAATATTATTGTCGATGTTTCAGCTGAATGAATATCAATGGAGGCCCACTAGGTTCCTTGCTTCCTTCTCTCACAACACAACCATTGACTTCACCAAAACCACAGGATAAGCTTTTTCTTCCTTTTTATCCTAAATTCCCCCACGCCAACTCTACTCATATCATCTTCTACCTAAAAATATCAAATTCCAACTTTTCACTTAATTAAGTTTTTTCCTTTGGGAATTTATTATTTTCTTATTTTCTTGTGGTTTATTTTTTATTACGTGCTTCTCTTCATCGAATAGTCATATTATATAAATTTATATAAGAAACTTTACATTAACTTACATTTGTAGTCGTTATTGCCTTCATGCATTTCAATATGATATGATCTATAACATGTCTAATTTGTTTAAAATTATTTATCGTAACTGATATCATTTGCAAAGTGAGTCAAGAAAAAAGTCTGTTTAAATCACGTTAAATATACATTGTAAGTTTCATGTTACAGTGATTTCAGAAAAAGCCTATACTCAATAATTAAAAGGAATATTTACGCCGCTATAATTTCATGGTAGCACAAACTTGTAGGAAGAGCTAAACAAAATGATAAATTGTACGCTGGAATAATAAGTTATCAATAATTATGTATTAAAAATATATTTAAATGTGTAAAACGTGAATAAGATTCCGTTGTCGTCCAGCGGTTAGGATATCTGGCTTTCACCCAGGAGACCCGGGTTCGATTCCCGGCAACGGAACTTTTCTTAATGTGTTTTTTGGACTGATTATATTTGTATTTATTTTATTCATTAGTTTTATCTAATTAAAATTTTGAAACACAATTTTGGAAAAGTCGTTGAGAGTTTTCAGTGGGAGGAGACGTGAAAATTCATCCCCAATTATTCACGAACACGATGTGACATTGTTTTCCGTGGAAAAACATCCATCTAGAAGGGTACTAATTTAAGAAACCTAGTCTCGGACTTTCGAAAACTAATCGTCGTAAGTATGATGAGATATATTCCAAAAACTATGAATGAATTAGTTGCATAATGGGACAAACTCAAATGGGGTTAAGGTTTGCACAAGAAAAGGAAATGCTAAGCTAGAAAAGGAGAGAAACGTGAAAAAGGTTGCAAAAAGTAAGATAAATACGAGAAAGGATATAAAATCGGGAGAATGTGTATGTGTATAAAGAGGGTGATAAAAAGGTACTTATTAACGAAGTAATTTCCAAATGTAGTTTTCAGAATTGAACAAAAAATTCAAAAAAGAAAAATATAAAAATAAAAAAGACATTGGGCTGGATAGCTATTGCATTCACCTATTGGGCCCTGATGGTCCCGTGGTTCGGTGAATTAATTATGTATTGGTCTAATTAGCTTCTGAGGAGAGAGTTTAGCTGATATTAATTTTTAATCTATTTTTGATAATTTTAATTAATGATAAAGCATGCGGTACAACATTTAAATATATCAAATTATTGGATAATTTTAGGCTTCAAATAGATCTGTAAATCACCGTATTGAATTAGTGCTGAGTGAGCTAGATCGAGGATGAATGTTGTGAAGATGATGATGTGTTTCTTAAAGAAAACAGAAAGCATCACGCTGAATGAAATTGCCTAAAGAGGAGAATGAACATTTTAATCCTATTCTTATTATGTAATTCATTATCAAATATTGGCATATAGAAGAGAATCGATTCCTCAATAAAGTAAAAGAAAGTGAGAAAAGGAAGACACGATGATTTGAATTCATATATATATCAGAAAAGAAAGGCAATTTGTTTGATCTTGGTTTATATGAGATTGGAAAGGCTTGCATCAAGAAAACTTGAAAGCATCACATACCAGCTATATGGAAAGAAGAAAACCATATCAACATCTCTTCAGAGAAGATTTCAGAACGATGAGACTTCTGCTCTGCTCCCAATGAGAAACGGCAAAGTGGGCATGTTTTGTGGTGACCCTTAAGCCATCTGTTTACACAAATCTTATGGAATTTGTGAGAGCAAGGAAGAACACGGATTTCATCTCTTGCCTTTAACCTTGACAGGCACACACAACACCAACAATCTTCATTAAAATTGCTGATGCAAGAAGGTAAAGGAGCATCCTTGTTCCTTTGCCCTTCGGCTAGGCCAATTAGATTGCTCACAAGTGATACCAAGCCTTTAAGAGTCATCTCATTTACTCCTGGGAAAACCATGTCAATAAGAACACCCTTTTGAAGAAAAGGAGTTGCAACTAATGGTCACAGTATCATAGAAATATAAGATTCATCTAGTGATAAAAGTTAAAATAAAGGATATGAGAAGTTTTGAGTTCAACTCTCTCTACTAATATTCAAAAGATATGAAATTGATCTGAAAAGAAAATAAAAAAAGTTTCAGATTTAAATTCTTCTACTATTAAAAGTTAACAATTAGTATTTGTCCATAAATAAAAATAGTTCCTTAGATGTTTTGCTTGGTTTGAAAGGGTGGTTAGATAAGGATTGTGTGACAGTTTCTATCGTCCAAACATAAAAGCGGTTACACCAACATCAGAGTGTTACATTTGACCTAGTACCTCATTCCTTTGAGGTAGAATAGTGCTATAAACTACCGGATTCCTAATTCCAGTGTAATACCAAGTGTATTCCACTATCTGTTTGATTATGCTTTTTCAACATATTTTTTCTTTCTCCTCCTTGTTTCTTACTTTATTGTTTTTTTCTAGTTTTCTGTTGTTGATCTTTTCATACATTTGGAATGGCGTTCAGGGAAGGCATCATTAGCTTGCATGGTTAATTGAGATAGAGATGTATTTTGAGACCCCTAGCTCGTAGAGCACTCATGTTCAATATTTTCACCAAATCTTATACTTGTCTTAGTCAATGAAAACTCATACTCTACTACTGTTCCCAGCCCACGTTTTGCATCAGCATGCACAGTCATTGCAAATGTAAGAATCCTACACAAACAATCACCTTTACACTATGTTGTAGATGCTGTGAAAGGAATCAATGAGAGTAGAAATAAAAACTTTTGATGCTTATTAATACCTTGAAGTATCTTCTTAAAGGATTTTTTTTTTTAAATAGACTACTTTCTCTGTAACTAGATTAATAAATATTAGTTGTATTGTATGATTGACAAACGAATATAGTACAAATTAAGATATTTTTTTTTATTTCTTAAAATGTTAAAAAACTTTTTATAACGAAAATTTAAAATACTTTTTGTTAAGAGAAAAAGCAGAAGCCTTTTTTCTAGTTTGTATAAAAATATTTACATTATGTACTTATTTCTTTGAGCTATTTTTTTTATTCATCAAAATAAGAAAAGAGAAAATTCTCTATTTTTTTTTCTTTTATTTCTATCAATCAAAATAGTACTCCTTTCTACTCTATTTCTTTTTATTTCTATTGGGTCCTCTTTTCTCTTCTTTTGTTAACTCAAAATCTAAATAGATATTAATCTTTTTTTATCTAACTAGTATGTTTGAAATTATTGGGTGAGTGCAGACTGACTGGGTACTTTAACATTTAACTAGATACGTAATATTGTCAACTAGGGATTGTAAGGAATTACTCTTGAATTGGCTGGAGATATTTCAACATCATGTTCATGTTGATAGTTTTTGAAGTTTAATCCTTTTTAAAAAAAAATGCACTGGTTATTTTTATAATGTACAGTGCAGGTATGTAGCTTTTTATCTTGAACTTTTAGTGTAAAACACGCTTGCAAAATGCACTATGAAGGATCTATCTCCAACAAAATATAGTAGAGTTTAGAAGGAACCACTACAACATTTACTTCACGTCATATTGCAAAGAAATAGATATTTGAACAGACACATCACAAAGTGTGTCTTTCTTGATCTGATTTACACTTACTTTTTTCACTGATCTCTTTTAGATATGACAATGGATAATAACATTTATTGATATCTGTAAAAACTAAATCCTATGATGGATAACGAACGTATTAATAACATGATAAAGTTACACTGTATAGTTGTCACTGCAAACTTTTATCTTTATTTCTTTATCTTCTTGTACCTACATAAAATGTGACTTACTGAGTTATAAACCAAACCAACATAGCAAAGATTTATAGACTGCCACATTAGAGGTTCATCACCAAAGACCCATTAGATTCAGAAGTTTCAAATTTTGTTATTGCAAAAAGATTATATTACAATGTACTAGATATTTACAATGCAGACAAGTCAAAAAGTTAAAAGAATATACAGGGAGAAGACACCAAAGAAAAAAAATTGAAAGTGCTCTCGATTTCCTTTATGTAAAGCTATTGATTATAGATCTCCATAGCCTTATATCACTTTAACAGAGGTTAGCATCCTCAAAACTTGTAATTGAACCAAACAAATTACAACTTCTGTTTCTTAACCAAGTTGTGTATCACTACTAATTTTCACAAGAGTGTAATAATAAACCTCGAATCATACAGTTAGAGAACTCTGGGAGATACAAATCAGCTATTCATACAAACAACGAAAGGGGAAAGTGAGATTAATTTGTTCAAATTCTTTTCATTCAAGGAAAAGAAGAAAAACACTATTCTTCCCTCCAAGCGAAAACAGCGTAATTTCTTTCTCTCACACAACATTACACTTTCAGCAGGGTCACAGAAAGTTGATCATCATAGAAAGAACAACAGCAACCAACCCTAAGGAACTGAAATCCAAACATGAAAAAATCTTACTAATTAATCTCAGGCACTTCTTCCATGACTCTCTTCATTCACGGCTGATAAATTGGTATCCCTATCATGTTTTGACGCATCTTCTTCCTCAAGTATCTTCCCATCTCTTGGAACCAAGCACGGTACCCCGTTTTTTATCTAACAAGTAAAAAGAAAAAAAAGAAACATAACTACATGAGTCAACACTCACCATTAAACAATATGCACGCTATCATGGGAGAGAGGGGTAATTTCCCCCTGTAATAAACATTTTCATTAAAAACATTTTATAATCCTCCTAGATTCTTGAATTTACAGATAGAACAAACTACAGATTCATAAATGCTGGAAAATAGGGCTTATGCAGTAACCCTTGCGGAGAGAATTAGGATTTCAGCAACAAAACAACATTGTCAGCTGATAAGGATCCTTAAAATTCCCAAAAGGATAAAAAAGGAACAGAAAATGAAATTGAAATGAAAGAGAAGAGGGGAATTAGAACCGACGGGAAAGGCAACGCCAATAGCATCACTGATCAGGGAATTTGATTCCTCACAATACCTGCAAAACCAAAGAAAGATTATAAGTAAAAAAATGAAGAAAAATATGAACATTTATGAAGAAATTGAGAAGAGAACCTCAAAGGTTGCTTAGAAAGAGGGCAAACGAGGATGTCGGATAGGGTTTTGGCTGCTTTTTGCAGAACCTCTTTACTTCCTCGCACCATTTCCGTTCAACTTCACTAACTCTTTCACGCTAAACTGCCAGGTACTCCTCTCAAGTAATTTTCATAAATTGCAAAATGGCCCTCTGATGAATTTTCCTAATTGTAGGTCTCAGGCTCCATCACGTTTACAATAAATATTTTTATTTTCGGACATAATGCTTAGAAATAACTTTCCTGAAAAATAACAAATTTAGTTCTTTTTCATATTGTTGGATAAATTCTGTAATGCATAAAAATTAATATATTTTATTCTTAGTATAAGAACAAAAATAACTTTAATTTTATTTATATTTATTAATATTTAAAATAATTAAGTAATGTTTAATTTTTAGTAGTTGCCATATATATTTATTAAAAAATATGTTAAAATTTTAAAGTAAAAATGAAATATTTATATGTTTTAAAATTAAAAATAAAAAAATTTATAAATAGTTAAACTTAAGAAGTCAAAATTGCATAAAACAAAATATCGGAACAAAGATTATGGGTAATTAAAAATTGGCTAAAATTATAAAATTAACAAATTTCATTTAATCCATTTGTTGTTTTTTTTTTTTGGGATGTACATTCAATGCTCCTATAAAAATGTTTTTAAAAGTTTTAAAAACTTACAATTTGATAAATGTTTTTTTCTTAATTATTTAAATATCTTTGTTTTGATCCCTAATACAATAATATTATTTGATCTCGAAGAGCCTTAATAGAGTATTTTAACCTTGTCCATAGCATGTTAAATAAAATATTTATCGTGATATTTTTCATTCAACTTAGATAAAGTATGTCGTGATTGTGATATTTTTAACTTTGGCTGTGGTTAAAATAATTTAAACTTTATCTAACTTAAAATTTAACTCAATATTTCAAAAATACTTTCAATTCACCTCTTCTTAGAATCTTCTTTTCAACTTTAAACATAACTTGGTTTTGGACAAAGAAATTCCATCTTAATTGTAATAGTGATATTATCTTTTCTATAAATATTAATATTAATTTTGACAACATTAAATTTTAAGAAATTATGTTTGGAAACCCTTACACAATGGAGGAAGAAAGAATGAAAATTTTTAATTTTTGAGAAAGCGTGACTGATAGGTCCCATTTTTCAAAATAAATAATCAAATTTATGATAAGAAGTAGATTGCTGATTTTTAAGTATATAAAAGTAATGTTTTTTTTTTAGGAAAATGTTTCTTCGACAACAGATTTTTGACAATAATTTGACAACGATACGTGTCACATTATCATTGGTTGTCTTTATCAAATTTTTTTAAAAGTTTCATTTTGTCTTCTAGGGCATCTTTGGAAAGAATGTTCAGAAACATTTTGGTACTTTTCACTTTTTGAAACAATATTCATAAGAAAAACCTATTCCTCTCTTCGAAACTCTCTCACCGCCTTCGACATTCCTCATTCGAATCTCCGTCACCGAAGTACTGTGTTTATCCACTGTTGTTCGTTCGTTGCTTGGGTCCACCGTTGTCTCCGGAGGAAGTCGTCTCTCTCTGTCCGCCATTGAAGTGTTGTCTTTGTATCGCTTGGGTCCACCGTTGGCGTCATTTCTCCAAAGCTTTCGTTTTCTCGCTCGTGCTATTGTTCCTTCGTCGGTTGGAATAAAGTTTCTCTTAACATGACCTTTTCTTGGGGTAAGTTGTTGTCTATTGGCTTCTTGGTTGGGGTATTGAAATTATCAAATGTGTTAGTAATCTTTATATCTCTTAGTTGTTTCTGCTTTTGGAAAATTATATTATTTTTTTAATTATTTCTCTATATTTACATATTTGGAATTTTTGCAGCCCAATTTTTTGGTTCTTGATTTGAGATATTTGTTTCGCCAGAGCAAGGTAAAGTATGTAATCTTTTTTATAGACTTTTGTAATAACTAATTTATTAGGAGCCTTGGTGATTGAGAACATTAGGTATTATGCTCATCAAACATATGATTTGTTGATGTTTCATGAGAAAAGTATGCTTGATTACAACAATGTAAGTATCAGTAACTTTGTTAAAAGACTAGATGATTTTGGTATTGTGTTAATTTTTTAAAGTAACTTGTGTTGATTTCAGGAGCGCAAATGAAAGTAGTTTTAGACAAAAAAATATATAGGAACTGGATTCTAGACAATGACAACGTGTTGTGAGAAGAACAAGTGGGCCAACACGTTAGGATTTATAGGTTTCAATTATATGTTGATTCGTGCCTAGAATTTACATTGTATGGCCTTGTGAAAGTTTTTTGTAACCAAAAGATCTGATTATAAATGTTGGGTAATATGTACTAATAATATATTATATAAATAAAATTTCAATTTTGATAGAGTACCATACGTTTTCTTCCAGTGTTGTTCGACCATATATATTGAAACCTTTTTTTGGGGAAGCAGTTGGTACTAGCTGGGGAAGTTAACGTGAAGTTCTGTACAAATTACGCCTTTTTCCTCTGGGTAATCGATTTACCAGAGGAAAAAAGGGTAATTTGTACAGAAACTTCAACGGTACTCCCCAAGCTAGATGAACATTGCACCCCCAACTCTGTTTTCTGACCTTGGCACTTGTGTTGTTCTTAACTTTCTCCACCAAACTCCAAATGACTGATTCTTGTTTTGTTGGAATCTAGACTCAAAAAGAGCTTTCCAAAAAAAACAAGAATCAACTCATTTGAGTTCGGTGGGAAAGTTATGAGCAAAACAACCAGCAAGATGAGAGGTGGTAGAAAATATATAAAAACGTTAACTTTAAGGATAACTGCACCTTACTCAGATGTCCAAAAATTATAAATTTAGTAGTCATTGGAAAAGATTTTTGAGTCTAATTCAATAAAAAAGAATCACATCATTTGGAGGGTCTGTGAAAAAGGTATGATAAAATAGTCAGTAAAGGTCAAAGTTGCCAGCATGGGTTATACACCTCACCTTCAATTGGAGAAAAACAACCAAGGATCATATTTAATTTTGGGTAATAGGACTAATTACCATATATTATATGTGAGAACAACCAATTACATGTGGTAGGTACCATCACGTTTTCATCCAGGAATGACTGTCGAACATAAATTGAGAACTTTTTTGGGGGAGCTAGTGTTCATATAGACTAGGAGTACCGTGAAAGTTATGTACAACTTACGCCTTTTTCTTGGTAATCGATTACCAGGTGACGATTAGGAAAAAGGGTAATTTGTACAGAAACTCAACGTACTCCCCAAGCTAGGAGAACATTGCACCCCTAATTGTTTTTCTGACACTTTGCTACTGTTTTGTTCTTAATTTCTCCACCCGAAAGTCCAAAGGACTTGATTCTTGTTTTGTTTGGCAATCTAGACTCAAAGAACGCTTTCCAAAAAACAACGAATCAACTCATTTGGAGTTCGGTGGAGAAGTTATGAGCAAAACAACCAGCAAAAGATGGAGTGTGGTAAGAAATAAATTATAAACGTAACTTTAAGGAATTAAAACTGCACCTACTCCAGGTGTCCAAACAAAAATTATAAATTAAGTTAGTCATTGGAAAGTAGAGTTGTGAGTATATTCTAATACAAAAAAAGAATCACCTCATTTGAGGGTCTGTGGAAAAAGTTATGTTACAAATAGTCAGGAAAGAGGTCAAAGTTGTGACAGCAGGGTTTTACACTCCTCAATTGGAGAAAAAACAGGAAAACCACTAAAATGAACATTTTTATTTTGAAGAAGAGAAATCCAGGACTAACCTCATTATTGGTGCAGAGAGCTCACCGAAATAACATTGAACTCACTCACCCATCTCAAAAAAGGAAAATTCAACAAAAAATAGAGAATGGGGAGCAGTGTTCATCTAGTTGGGGAGTACAGTTGAAGTTTCGATACAATTACACTTTTCTTCTAGGGTAAATCGATTTACAGGGGTATTGTAATCGATTACCAGAGGAAAAGGGTAATTGCTACAAAAACTTCAATGTACTCCCCATCTAGATGGAACACTGCTCCCCAACTTGTTTTTCTGAAACTTTGCTAATTGTTTTATTCTTACTTTCTCCACTGAAACTCCAAATGACTTGATTCTGGTTTCTGTTGGGAATTAGACTCAAAGAGGCGTTCCAACAAAACAAGAATCAACGCATTTGGAGTTCGGTGGAGAAGAGAAAGTTATGAGCAAAACAACCAGCAAAGGTTAAGTGGTAGAAATATATAAACGTTAACTTCAGAAATCCAAGGACCGCCATACCCAGACGAAAAACTGAGTTCCCACTCAAGACCCATGTGCAAGCTACACAATGTAGAAGTGTAGAACAATTAGTTCATAAGGACCGACGGTAAACAATGCATCACCAGAAGTGCTTCCCATATCGGATTAAAAATGCAAAACCTATAGCGCAGAAGAAGTAGGAATAATCGCCACAGAAATGGATATTGTTTCATAAAAGTAGAGATCCAGAAACAGGCTCACGAATACCATCAATATCTACTGAGGGCAGCCGATTTTTTGAAAAAGCGATAATAAATACAGGAAGTTGCAGTCAATAAAGTAGGAATCATAAAACACCAAACCACCAATGTAAAGGACGATTTTCGGTGCTGGTTATCCAGGAATTAACTGCACCGACTCAGTGTCAAAAATTATAAATTAGTAGTCATTGGAAAGATATTTGAGTCTACTTTCTAATAAAAAAAGAATCACATCATTTGGAGGTCTGTGGAAAAAGTTATGATTAAAATAGTCAGCAAAGGTCAAAGTTGACAGCATGGGTTATGCACCTCACCTCAATTGGAGAAAACCACCTATAGGTGTTTGAACCAAGGTAGTTCAAGTTCATGACAATTTTTGCACAACTCGTAGAGGAAGAAGTTATTAACTTCTGCAATCAATTTGATCGACAACCATCTTCTTAGATTACATTTCATTGTATACTGTTATGTATCTTTTCATTTCAAAACTTGTTGTTTCGTGAAATGTCATTACGTTTTTTTATTAATGTATGTGCTTTTTAATATTGTTATAATTTTTCATTACTCAATACCCTTCATTATTTCGTTTATATTTGTTTAATATTGAAGTATTCCAACTTGAAGTGTTCCATTAATGATCCATCCATAAAACCTTCAAAAGACAGTCATAACG